CAGAGCTCCAGGCACAGCGACAGCGACAAACCTGGGGACATCCAAAACCCTGCAGCCCCTGCCCGGGGCCCTGGCAGCGGCCCAGGGCTGACCCCAGTACTTACTGTTGGGTGGAGAGTGTGAAATCCCAAGGAGAGACCTTTTAGGGCCAGAATTTCCCTCTCCGACTCCTGGAGGCTTTGGCTCGGCGAGTTGGCAGAGCAGCTGCTGCTGCTGTCAGATGGTCATGAGTGAAACCTGAGGACATGCGGGGTCCTTCAGGTAGCCTGGCTGTGGCATTCGTCCCCCGCCGCGCCAATCACGGCCGGGCCCCATCGCCCCCGGGCCCGGCTCCTGCCCGGGCCCTGCCCCGGCCGCAGGTGCGGAGCTGGCTCGGGGCTGCCTTCGGCACCCGCTGCGGCCCGGGGAGCTGCAGGGGAGCTGGGAGCGACCCTGGCCAGCGCCTCCCCGCCAGTGACAGGGGCTGGAAGGGGCAGCGGGACAACTGCGAGGGCGGGGGAGCTCTCGGTGCCAACGCCGCTGCCCGAGCTGTCCCCGAGCCCGTGGCTCTTTGGGAGCGTCATTCCCATTGTTCGGGGCCCTGGAGCACCCTCGCTCCTCCTCTTGCTGGCACACGAGGGGGGTCTGTCACTTTTTTGTCCCCCCCCGCCCACCCTCTTGCAGCAGAACACGCCAGGAGCATCCCTGGCCCGGTGCCTCACCTGTCCTGCCCGCGGGGCCCCTGAGCCACGGCCGGGCTGACACACAGAGGGGAATTTGCCCTGGGGTTGTCTCCCCTTTTGTGCTTCCTGGCGGGGCCTTTGGCAGCTCCTGCCAAGCCCAGGCACTTTTGGGGTTTGTGGGGTGCTCGGGGTGTAGGAGGAGAGGGTGGAGAGACACCCAGCTTGCAGGGCCAGCCCTTTTGGGGTGCCCGGGGCTGTGCTGGGGGGAGCAGCAGAGGGGCTCATCACCTCCCCAAAACCACTACCTCTGTGAATCATTTCTGCCTTTCCAGTCCCAAAACACCCTGGAGAAACTTCCCGGTGTTGGGGTGGCTTCAGTGGAGCTGCAGTCCCTTCCCTGCCCAGCCCCTCGCCCCTGTCCTCTCCAGCATCCTCCACAATCAACGCATCCATGGCCAGGCCAGCAGTCCTGACACCAGGGAGCTGGGAAGTGAAGTTCCTTGGGCTAATTCTGCTTCAGACTCACGATTCTCCTTTCCTTTGTGAGACTGTGGGAATAAGGCAGAGCAGGAGCCAATTCAGCTCTCCAGAGAAAACTGGTGCAGGATGAGCTCCAGCAGGGGATGCCAAAGGTGTGCTTTGGGAGGCATAACTTGGATCTCTTCAATTAAAAATCGTGGCTCTTCTGGCTGGCTTGGAGCCTCAAGCAGGCTCTGAGGGGATAAAGCCAAGGGAAAGAGCGAGGGAAGAGAGGGAGGGAACCAGAGCAACTCCCAGGGCTGGCACTGGGAGCCCACTGGGAGCTCGGCAGGAGAACAACAGCCACGATCCAGCGGCATGGAGCATTCCCTGAGCATCCTGTGCACTGGGTTTGGCTGGTGAGGACAGCAGGGACAGGGACAGGGACAGGGACAGGGACACCCTCCTGCTGTGGCTGTGGGGACTTTCCACTTGCTCTGTTGGTTACAGCAGGGAATTCAGGGGATGTTTGGTGGCTCCCAGCAGCTGCCCCAAGCCCAGCCTTGTCAGCACAGGAAGATTTTTCAAGCTGCACAGGTCCATTTTTGCTTTTCCCAGACCAAGAGCAGGCCTGGAGTGAGGCTGGAAACCCTGGGATGTGTCTCCTGCCCTGTGGGGTGTGGGGACACCAAGGGTCCCCAGCAGGGCACAGGAGCACATTTCTGTCTGCAACACCAAGTAAATCCCAATGGGAATGGGATCTTGGGGCATCCAGAGGTACTGGCAACACTGATCAGGGTGAGAAAAATGTGTCCTTGGGTTTCCAGGGTGGAATTAGGGCAATGCTTGGTCCAGCCTCTGGGACCCTGGAGTATTTGAGGTGCCCTGGCTTGTGGAGCTGGATCAACCACAGGATCACAAAATCAGGGAATGGTTTGGGTGGGAAAGGACCTTAAACCCACCCAGTGCCACCCCAGCCATGGCAGGGACACCTCCCACTGTCCCAGGCTGCTCCAGCCCCAATGTCCAGCCTGGCCTTGGGCACTGCCAGGGATCCAGGTGCAGCCCCAGCTGCTCTGGGCACCCTGTGCCAGGGCCTGCCCACCCTGCCAGGGAACAATTCCTGTCCAATATCCCATCCAGCCCTGCCCTCTGGCACTGGGAGCCATTCCCTGGCTCCTGGCCCTCCATCCCTTGTCCCCAGTCCCTCTCCAGCTCCCCTGTGCTGCCAGCGCTGTCCCTGCCGTGGGTCCCGGTGTCCCTGGGGCTCTGCCGGTCCCTGCGCAGGGTCCCAGGGTCTGGGCAGAACCGGAGCTGCCCGCACCGGGAAAGGTGACAGCTCCCGATGTGCTGGGACACGGGGCGGGCGAATTCCCCGAGCTGCAGGACCGGGACCATCACGAAGCGGGATGAAGGAGCAGATGGAAGCACAGGGCACCCTCTGCGCCCAGGTGGTTCCGTAGGAGGGGGAATGCAGGCGCGGAGAGCAGCATCGGGCACCGCGCTCCCTGTTCCCGTCCCCATCCCGGATTAACCCGCACCCGGCCGGCGCTGCCGGGCTGTCCCAGCTCTTCCCCCAGAGCAGTGTGGCTCTTACCTCGCTCTCGGGGACTCTCGGAGCCGGGGTCAGTGGCCGCTGTCCCCCCGGGGTGTCCCCGCTGTGTCCGCGGGTGGCTCCAGCGCTGCCACCCGAGCAGCTGTGGAGGGGCCGCAGTGCCACCCTCCGGCCCCAGGCAAAACACCCCTGTCCCCTGTCCCCTGTCCCCTGTCCCCACACACCGCTCCGGCCCTGCGGGGACACACAGCACCCCGGGGACAGGCGGCTGAGGAGGATTCCAGGCTGTGGCACTCCGGCCATGCTGGGAAAGGGGAAACCTGACCCTGCTCTGCCTGGGCTCAGCCTCCCTGAGCACAGGATAAACCATCAGTGATGCTTTAGGTTGGAAAAAATCTCCAAGTGTATGAGGATTTTTGGAAGAAACTCCTCCCTGGCAGGGTGGGCAGGCCCTGGCACAGGGTGCCCAGAGCAGATGGGGCTGCCCCTGGATCCCTGGCAGTGCCCAAAGCCAGGCTGGACATTGGGGCTGGAGCAACCTGGGACAGTGGGAAGTGTCTCTGCCATGAGCTTTAAATCTCTTTCAACCCTTTAAGATCCCTTTCCATGATTTTTTGCAGCTGCAGGACATGGTCCGTGCTGGGAACCTTTGGAAAACCTTTCCTGCAGGCTAAGGGAGATTCCCAGTCCCCTCCTGGATCCACACTGGGCTCCTGTCCTGCAGGGTGTTCAATGTCCCATGCGGTTCCTGTCCCATGGGGTTCAAAGCCCAGCAATCCCAGAGGGTTATTTGGGGTCATTTATCACCCTAAAAATCCGTTCACAGCTGGAAATCAGTGAAAATCCAGAGTCTTTCAATGTTTTATGGAAACAGATGTTCCCACTGAGCATCCCCAGTCCTGGCTCAATCCGCTGCTGCCTCATCCCTGCTCCCATCCTCACTAATGATGGAGAGGTATTCTATTCACCTCTGGTCCCTTCCTGGCTGCAGACGTGGGTTTATTTACCATCTCCTGAGCTCCTCTGGAGGGTTCCTGGTGCTTCAGGATGTGCTGGCTCTAGAGGGTTTTTTAATGGGACATCTCCCATCTCACCTTAAATCAGCCCTGGCGTTCTGTTTCCCTCTCAGTGCCCTCCCAGACAGGATCTCTGGAGATCTTGCAGCCTGGACAGGGGCCAGCAAGTGGGGTTTATTTAGGGAAGGACATGTGGCACCACGGAGAAATGACAACCCAGGCAGAGTGAGAAGCGAGGCCGGGATCGGGTGGCTCCGGTCTTGGGAGCATGGGAGAGGCCAGGAAGTTTGGCAAGAGGGCATCCGGGGCCTCTCGCTCCTGGAGGCACCAGTGGCCAGGGCAGCAGCTCAGAATGGGAGGATGAAGGATGGTCATGGTGAGAGGACAGGGCCAGGCTGTGGGCTGGTGGGGGCAGCTGTGACCCAGAGGGGACAGGGCACCCCAGGACCTCTGGGACAGCTCGTGGTGCCCCCACCTTGAGCTCTTCCTTGTTTTCCTCCTCCATCTCCCCTCTGTGAGCTTCGCTGGGCAGGGGAAAAGCAGAGATTGCCTGGGAGATACTTCCAGGTATTCCACCATGGGCAGGATTTTCATCCTGCAGCACCCCCAGTCCCAAATTCTCTGGGTTTGTGGAGCAAAACAACCCTCTGAAAAGCGAGGCTGGACTTGAGAATGGATTTTATTGGCAAAACCTTTCTTATTTCTGGAAGATGAACCCAGGGAAGTTCCTCAGTGCAAAGGACTGGAAGAGCTCTCCTGGCAAGGGAACATCTCCAGTTCAATCAACTGACATGGGAGAAAGGGAAGCATTTTGGGAATTGAGGAACTGGGTCCTGAGGCTGTTGGGGGTCTCTTGTAGAGCTGTGGGGATTTTCCTCTCTCTGTATCCTTCCCCTATCCCCAGGGTGGCTCCTGGCTGTGTTCCCCAGAAGGGAAATTTTGTGAAGCAAGGAAGGGGGAAAATATCCATCAGTGAATCCCTTCAGTATCGGGGCCGCTCGTTTTCCTCCCAGTGCAAACAATAACCACCAGCTGTCCTTTGGCAAAGGAATTTTGTGTTTCCTTCCCAGTTTCAGGCAGAAAAGTGGAGAACTTCCCTTCCCTTTGCCTGAAACTCTGCCCCAAAGCAGTGAGAGCTCCAAGGGGTGAGGTGCCACCACAGGTGCAAGATCCACCAGCACTGAGCAGGCAGAGCCTCTCCCATGGTTGTTCCCACCACCCTCTGAGGGTGTTAGACCCAGAACCTCCAAAATCAGGGGGGTTGGGTCTTTCTGGAACCACAGCCATGGAGCTGCTCCTCCAGCAGCTCTTCCCTGGAGTGCTGGCCTGGTCACGCTGTGAAGTCCTGGGTGGCCAGGTTGAAGACGTTGCTCTCCATGGACCTTTGCCACTTGCCCCAGTTCCTCCTGATCTCAGCCTGGACCTGCAGCAACACCACGGTGCTGGCACCCAGGGACACCAGGCAGCACCCAGGGGAGGATTGGGGGGGCAGGGTTTGCGGGGACTGTCCTTGTGCCCACGTGTGGCTTTTGGGCACCCTTGGGGTGTCCCTGTGCCCGCTGTGGTGCCCGGGGTTGGGCTGGGGACACACTCACCTCCCCGTTGAGGAAACAGTAGAGCAGAGCCACCAGGAAGCCCTGCGGAGGACAGGGAGAGCAATTTTCACCCCAAGGAAGGGGCTGGACCGCTCTGTGCTCATCTCCTCCCTCCTTTACCTCCTCCCATACCTCTGTCCCCCTACAGAGCAGAAGATACCAGTGCCAGGTTCTCCAGACCCAGACTGTCCCTTGTGCCCTGCCCCAGGGGGATGGGGGCACCCTCTCCTAAAAGAGGCCAAAGTCCCACATCCCAGGGGCTCCTGGTGGGGTTTGGGGTGGGACCATGGGGACTTCCCCTGCCCTTCTCACCTGGTAGGAGCCTAGCACCAGCTCGAAGTAGAGCCGGGCATCCACACCCACGTGCTCGGGGAAGAGCGCGAACACCACGTAGTGCACCCCAAAGAGGGGGATGAGGAGCAGCGTGGACTTGGTCAACCTCCTGTGGAGAGTGAGAGGGGTCTGGGTGCTCCTGCAGCCCCGTGAGACCTCCCCAGAATCTTGGTCTTAACCCCAAGTAGGTTCTCTGTGAAAGGCAGGTCTTGGAGGCTCCAAGATTGTCCTCTGTGCTCCTCCAAGGAGGGTCCCTCTGCCCTGGGACCCCAGACCCCATGGGCACAGCCCTGTCCCCTTACATGTACTGCTGCTTGTGGGTTCTGCTGAGGTCTGGGCACCGGATCTTCTGTGCCAACATCCTGGTGACGTTGAGGAAGATGAGGAAGTTCACCTATCCCGGGAAGCCACATCTCAGGCTCTGCACAACCCCTGGCCGGGTCCCCTGGCCCCGTGGGACCCCTGGCTCTGGGGTGGGGCTCTCAGGGAGCACACTCACAAATATGGCCAGGAGGATGGGAGCCTTGATCACCCACCAGTACGGGCTGGAGTAGTCATCCCAGCACCTATGGGACAGGAGAGCTGGCTCTGGCACCCACTGGGACCCGTGTGTCCCCCTGACCCCTTTGCACCCCTCTTGCCATGAGACCCACCAGAAAACAGAAATAACATTTAAATAAAGTGCTGGCTCAGTCCTCCCCTCCTGAGCATCCCATGCCAAAGGTTCATTTCCCAGGACTTGGACTGGGACACGTGGCTGAGGTGGCCTGGAGAAGGCCAAGGGGCAGCTGCTCTTACCCATGGTTGTCGTACTGGAGCCTGGTGAACACCCACACCCCAACTGTGACCACGGGGACACCTGCAAGGACAGGACACAGGCAGGGATGGTCCCTCCAGTGCTCTGGGAAGTCTCTGTGCCACCCCTCTGTCCCTTGTCCCCAGAAACATGTGGCTAGCTCAGTTCTGGAAGTGGCAGGAAAGTGACAACCTTCCCACCTTCTCCAGGAGGAAATGGTGCCCAGTGATGGTTCTGTGTCTGTGCCACCTCCTGGCCACCCTCCCAGCCCTGAGCTCCTGCATCACACCCAGGCTGGGATGGGTGTTCCCAGCCCCACGTGGGTGTGGGAAGAAGGGAGAACCTGTCCTGGATCAGGCCAGGCTTCCCCAGCAGCTCTGGGCTCTAGGAGAAGCAGGTGGGTGCCCATCAAGGCCAGGCAGGAGATGTTGGGGTGGGACATGCTGGGAGCAGCCCTGGGGACCTCTGGCCAGGTGAGTCTCAGATCAGGCCATTCCCAGGTTGGTTCCTGCCCGTGGATGTCCAGGGTGTCTGGGGTGTCCCCAGGCTCACCCCAGCCGATGAGGATGTAGCCCCAGGTGTAGCTCCTGTCGCAGGTGAAGGTGAGCAGCAGCAGCGTCTGCAGGTACAGCCCCTCCACCAGCAGCCAGTAGAAGTTGGCCAGCACTGAGTACTGGAAGAAGGCGATCACTGCTTTGCAGGTCACCTGCCAGGGGAGGAGGGGGACAGCTCAGGGTGCACCACAGCCTGTCCTGGGGACACGGGATTGTCACCCCCTGTGTCCCCCCTCCTGGGGACACCTGTGATGACCTTTCAGTGATGACCTTTCAGTGCAGCCCCAGGGACTCTGCCCCTGTCCCTCAAGTCACCTGCACCAGGTTCTGCTCTGCCTGTGCCTCACGGGCAGGTGACCACGGGCGGCTTTTGTAGGACCTTAAAAAGCCCTGTGGTTGTATCTGTGGTGCTCTTGGTGTTGTATCTTCACTCAGGAGTTCCTGCTTTTATTGGAAACCTCAAATTTGAGCAGATCCTGGTGCTGCTGGGGCCGTGCTGAGCTTTAGCCCAACTGGGGACACCACTGGGGACACCACTGGGGACACTCAGCCTGAGGCCAGTGGCAGCTTTGAGGACAGAACTTGTTCCCTGCACAGAGGAAGATGCAGAAATGATGAACCTCCCCAAGGCCACCTATGACAGAATTTCCTCCATCTCACAGCCTCTCTCTCTCTCTCTCTCTCTCTCTCTCTCTCTTTGCAGTGCTAAATCCAGCCTGGGCCCCACCAACCCCTTCCCAATGAGCCCTCGTTGCTCTCCCTGCCCCATTCCCAGGCTGTGATTTGGGATTTACCGTGGACATTGTGCAGTGGTCGATGGACTCGTCCGAGAAGAGGACGCTGTCCTTGATGAACACAGCGGTGCCCCGCAGGATGAAGGAGGTGAAGAAGTGGATGTGGATGGAATTCCTGGTGCAGTGCAGCTTCCTGCAGGAGGGAGAGATCTGCTGGGCCCCAACAGGGGCAGAGAAGGTGCCTGGTGTCCCCTTCCCAGGCTGGAGCCCAGCCCAGGGATCACTGCCGGTGATGGTCACAAAGCCCTGGAGAAGCTTTCCTGCTCTAAAATCAGGAAGGGCAGGGTTGTGCTGTGTTTGAGGCTGCTCAGGGACAAGGGAACATCCCAGAAACCTCTGGAGAGCCCAGATCTGCAGCACAGGGAGATCTGCAAAACCAGAACGTGAGAGGGCCACCAGGGAAGGACAACGCTGCCATTCCTCTCCTGGCTTCCCAGTTTTCCTGTTGGCAGGGATGGGTCCTGGCTTTTCCAGGAGGGGACAGGCCGAGGACAGCTATCCCTGCTGGGATTTATCCTGTGTCCCTGCAGCCCGTGGGGCTGGAGCAGCTCCCAGCCCTACCTGAAGCAGGAGAAGATGCCGATGGCCAGGAGCAGCGCTGCCAGCGACGTGGAGTAGCCGCAGGTGTAGAGCACCTTCATGGTGACAAAATGGCCTCTCTGGAAGGGACAGCAGCGCAGTGAGGGGACATGGACTGGGAAGTGCTGGTGTGGGACAAGCAGGGACAGCTCCCCCCTCAAGGACGGGAGAACATCTCCATAGTTCCTTGCCCAGTGAGGGGAAGGGGGCCATGGGGACAGGTCCCCACAGCCCCAGGGGTCCCACGTGCCTTGGTCTCGGTGTCATTGGTGCTGCTGAGGGGCTCCAGCTGGCAGGTGCTGTGGTAGGGGGGGCTGGGGGGGCTCCAGCCCCACTTGGTGCAGTTCCTCTGGATCCACCCTGCAGGGCAAGGAAGGACCTCAGGGGAGCCATGAGTGTCACCTTTGATGGCACCCCCAAAATGCCCAGCCTGGAACAGATGGGGACAGCAGTGTGGTGCCGAGTGGGGCAAGAGTGGCCTGGCTGTCCCATCTCTCCTGGATCCCACTGCTCCTCTTGGATCCCATCACTGCTCCTTCCCTCCCAGACACCATCACTCCCTCCCAGATCCCATTGCTACCCCATCCCTTCTGGATCCCATCACTCCCTCTGGCCCCGTGCCTAGAGCTGCCAGGAAAACTTTGGGCTGGGTGTGAAAACAAGCTCAGATCCCTCCAGTGGATGGGAATTGGGAATTAAGGCAATAAAAGTGCTCCTTTCTCCTGTAAGGGCTCCATCAAGCCTCTCCTGAGCTGTTCCTGCCCCAAAGCAAACATTTCCCAGCATTTTCCAAATTACTCCTGTCTGAGGAAGTGCTTGGAGACTGCAGAAGTGCTGGAATGCTCTGGGTGGGAGCTCTCCTTCCCAGCCCTCCAAGAGGGATGGAGACATCTCGGGAGGGCTGGGATGGTGTGTGGGGAAGGACTGCACCGGGGACTGTCCCGGTGTCACCAGGATGGAGGATGAGGTCCCCAGGTGCTCCGCCCACAGAGGATGAAAGGATTTGGGTCCTGCTGTGGCAGCTCCCTGAATCTCTGCTTTTCCTGCCCCCTGCTTGGAATGCGATTTACACCAAGGACATTTGTTTTGGAGAGGCAGGAGCTGCGGGGTCACAGGGAAGGGCTGGGGTGGCACAGGGGTCCCTGGCAGGGTGGGTCCCTCGGGGTGAGCGATCCCCACTGGATTCAGACCTTCGGACTTCTTGAAGACGTTCAGGATGTCGGGACAGGCGACAGCTCGGGACTGGCCGAGGGGCAGGGCGGGCCAGCAGCTCACCCCGTCCCACTCCGTCGGGCAGCCTGGGGAGGGAGAGAGGGGACCGCGGTGACACCAGGAGGGGACGTGCGGGTGACACCGCAGCCCCGCCGCTGTCCCCCGATCCAGGGCCGGGCCCCGCAGGAACCGGGAGCATCCCGGCTGTGCTCCTGGGAACATCCTCTCCCAGCGCTGGCACCTGGGAACTCCCGGGGCTGCATCAGACCCTGCCTGTGGGGTGGGCAGGGATTTGCCCCGGCTCCTAAAATAACGCAGATTTATGCTGGATTGTTGCACCTGGAGGCTCAGCTCGGGATGTACCCCAAGGACAGGGGGAAGTCAGGCAAAGCTTGCTGCGAGTGATCGCCTTAAACAACTTTCCCTATCCAGCACTCAGTTCCCGTTTAAATCGCTCTCCAATTTCCTTGGGAATGAGCACGGCCAGGCAGACTCGGGACCTGGAGGAACTCGTGATGGGATGGGACAAGGACATCCCGTTCCAGGCCAGCTCCTGTCCCAGCACAGCTCCATCATTAACCTTGCAGATCCACATTGTTCACCTGGAGCCACATCCATTGCCAGCCAGGGAATGTGGAATTGGACAAGTCTGATGAGTTTCCTCGGATTTCAGCCTGGGGGTGTCAGTACAGGCACGGAAGGATTTGCATCTACAGTGCCAAAGTGAGGCTTGGTTTTTGCTTGGGGAATCAGGGAAGTGAGCATAGAATTGGGATCAGTCACTTCATTTCTTGGGGTCGTGGAAGCAGGGAATCCTGGAATGGTTTAGGTGGGAAGGCCCTTAAATCCCACCCATTCCCACCCCAGCCATGGCAGGGACACCTCCCACTGTCCCAGGCTGCTCCAGCCCCAATGTCCAGCCTGGCCTTGGGCACTGCCAGGGATCCAGGGGCAGCCCCAGCTGCTCTGGGCACCCTGTGCCAGGGCCTGCCCACCCTGCCAGGGAACAATTCCTGCCCAATATCCCATCCAGCCCTGCCCTCTGGCACTGGGAGCCATTCCCTGGCTCCTGGCCCTCCATCCCTTGTCCCCAGTCCCTCTCCAGCTCTCCTGGAGCCCCTTTAGGCCCTGCAAGGGGCTCTGAGCTCTCCCTGGAGCTTCTCCTCTCCAGGTGAACATTCCCAGCTCTCCCAGCCTGGCTCCAAAGGAGCCTTTGGAGCATCTCCAGGACCTCCACTGGAATTTGTAGCCCCCATAGTCCAGAGGATGCCACAGAAATGGTGCGAGGAATGGAAGATCTCTGCCATGAGGAAAGTCTGGGAGAGCTGGGAGTGTTCACCTGGAAAGGAGAAGGATCCAGGGAGATTTTGGAGCCACTTCCAGAGCCTAAAGGGGCTCCAGGAGAGCTGGAGAGGGGCTGGGGACAAGGGATGGAAGGCCAGGAGCCAGGGAATGTCTCCCAGTGCCAGAGGGCAGGGCTGGATGGGATTTTGGGCAGGAATTGTTCCCAGAGCCCTCCCACTCTGTCCATGGGATCTGAGCCTGTCCTCGCTCACAGCTCCCACGCTGGCACAAGCAGAGGAAGGGGTGAATGAAGCTCAGGTGGACTGGGGGCAGCAGCAACCTTGGGATTAAACCCAGGTTTTCATTATGCATTCCTGCTTCTCAGATATTTCCCTGCAGTGAGATTCCTTCCCCTTGGCTGGCAAAATTCAGGTTGCAAAATGGGCTTTTTCCAATCTAATTGGCTTTTCCCCCCTAAGCTGAAGAATAAATGACATCTCTGTTGAGTTACTTAAGCAATTATGCGTCTTCATATGCATTTATTGCTTAATTTTTCCAATGCTATGAGATTAAAGCCCTGGAATGACGCATTCCTTATTCTCCTGGTGACAATTTTTGCCTGGGATTGGGCTATTCCACTTTGGATGGAAACTGAGATGCAATTTTAAAAAGGATGTCCAAAAGCAGCACTTGAAAATTGTTTTTTTCAGCAAGTTAATTTGTTTAAAATCCCAGATATGGGAAAATTGAGTTGCTCAAAAAAAGTTTGGCTGTAAAATTTGCTGAATGAGGAAGGGGAGCAGATGTGAGATGGTGACACCACAGAGTGACCCCGGTGCTGGTGGCCACAGCCCTGGCATTAGTGCAGGGGGATCAAGGGGGCTCTGCCAGGGACATGGGCAGATCCAACACTGCCATATTCTGTGAAGCCATCCCTGGAGGGGTGAGAAGGCTCTGGGGAAACCTCAGAGCCCCTTGCAGGGCCTAAAGGGGCTCCAGGAGAGCTGGAGAGGGACTGGGGACAAGGGATGGAGGGCCAGGAGCCAGGGAATGGCTCCCAGTGCCAGAGGGCAGGGCTGGATGGGATATTGGGCAGGAATTGTTCCCTGGCAGGGTGGGCAGGCCCTGGCACAGGGTGCCCAGAGCAGCTGGGGCTGCCCCTGGATCCCTGGCAGTGCCCAAGGCCAGGCTGGACATTGGGGCTGGAGCAGCCTGGGACAGTGGGAGCTGTCCCTGCCATGGCTGGGGTGGGAATGGGTGGGTTTAAGGTCCCTCCCAGTCCCAGCCATTCCCTGATTCTCTAAATCCACCAGGTCTGAGTTCCTGCTGTTGTGTCCCTCAATCCCCTCTATCCCATTCCAACTGCATTTTTGGGGCTCTGCAGGGATTCTCCTTGTCCTTTGCCTTGGTGCTGCTCTCCATTTCCCTGGAAATCCCCTCGTTTCCACATCCATGGGCACTCTGCAATCCCCTACCATGGGTCACCCTCCAAGGACCCCTCAGGAATTCCTGCCCTGGTCCCAAGGGAGCTGATCCCAGGCTCACCCTCACCTTCCTGCCCAGGGAGAGCTGGGGTTTGGCTCTCGCTCCAGATCCTCTCCAGACATTCCGCTTCTTGCTTCTGGAAGTGGAGGACGACGGAGCAGTCGGGATGAGTCCCTCGCACCTTGGGAGAAGGGGAAAGGGCAGGCAGGAGAATCATGGAACTGTGGAATCGGGTTCATGGAATTGTGGAAATGGAATAATGGAGTTGGCTTGGAAGGACCACAAAGCCCATCCCGTTCCCCCTGCCAGGGGCACGGACACCTCCCACATTCCCAGCTCTGGGCTTTGCCTGCAGAGGTGTTGGAACACCAGGGAGAATGTCCAGATCCCAAAAATGTGAGAGACGTGGTGGCTCAGTGTGCAGGGATTGGATTGTCTGGGAATCCCTGCTTTGGGATTTGCCTCCTTGGCTCCTCGCTGGAGAACTGGGAGACTGAGGCTGAACTGAGAGCAGGCCAGGAACTTTGTCTGTCCATTCCCATGCACCCCTGTCTGTTCCCAAGTGTCTGTGCCCATTTCCATGTATCCATGTTCATTCCCACACATCTCTGCCCGTTCCCAAGCATCCCTGCAGGATCTGGGTTCAGGGCTGTCTGGGACAGGGATCTGGGGCCAAGAGCTGGGCTTGGATTGCTGATTGTTTTAGGTGAGGGGCCAGAGGTGTCTGTGGAGAAACAGAGGGATGAGGATGGATGCATGAACTTCCCAACAGAGGGAAGTGTGGATGTTGGAGCATCCCTTGGCTGAGCCCTGCCCTGCCCTGCCCTGCCCTGGCCAGGCAGCCACTCCTCAGGGTCCCTTCACCTCCCCCAGGAAATTTTGTTTCCTTTTCCTGCTGAACACAAGATTTCAAGGGGATTTCCAGCCTGGAAAAGGCATTTTGGGGATGGCTCTGGGCACAGCACTGAGAAAGCCCAGGAATTCTCCATCCTACCAGTGATGGATGGGGCAGAGGGGCTTCTCTCACCCCTGTTTAGCTGCAGACCTGCTGGGTTTGATTTGTTATTTATGGCAGCAGGGCCAGGATGATGCAGCAGGAACAGGAAATGTGCAGAGCTCCCTGCAGGGCAGGGAATTCCTGCTGTGCCTCAGTTTCCCCCCTGGAAGGGGCCTGACGCCATAAGACTCTAACACCCTCCAAGCCTCCAGTGCTCCCACAGCCCAGATTCCCTTTCCCCTTCCCCTTTCCCCTTCCCCTTTTTCCCCAGAGCAGCCTGACCAGTTCAGGGGTGTTTCATTCACTCTGGCAGGGACCCCATGTCCCCCCATTCCCGCAGGGATTTGGTGCCAACCATTGCCATGTCCTGGGGTGGGGATCACTCACGCTTGTCCTTGTCCCCTGCACCCTGCAGCCATCCCAGCCCTTGTGCCTGTGGATGCTCCCCAGGGAGTTCAGGGCTCCTCCAAGGAGTGTGGGACACTGGGTGATGTGGGATGGAGGATCCATTCCCAAGGGATCACCTCTGGGACCTGAATCCGTGGGACCTCTGTCCTGGGAGGCCCCAGCACCACCCTTGTCACCACATTGTCCCCAGGAGCTGTGGGGAAAGTCCCCAAGGGGGACCCGCAGGGATGGGATGGGATGGGATGGGATGGGATGGGATGGGATGGGATGGGATGGGATGGGCAGCCCCCACCCTTCACTCCCGGGCCCCAGGGTGGCTGGCATGGGGGGACCGCCAGTGCCCCCCACCCTGTCCCCGTGTTGTCCCCAGGGCCACTCACCTGAAGCGTGGGGAGGAGCAGCAGGAGCAGCAGCGAGCGGGGCCGGGGCGGCTGCCAGGGCCCCCCGATGGCTGCACCCAGTGGGGTCCCGGTTCTGCCCCCGAGGGGTTGGGGGCAGCCCAGCTCCTCCTTCATGATCCGGGGGTGCCCCAGCACCTTCCTGCCCACTGCCCTCTGCCCTTCCCAGCCCTGTCCTGCTCCGTGTCCCTCAGGACCCTTCCCTGCCGCGGGTCCCGGTCCCGCCCGGTGTCCCCCGCCCGTGTCCCCCCGCTGTGCCCGGCGCGCTGGGCTCTCTCCGCGAGCCTGGATGCCACCGCTGCGGGATCTGGGACCGGGAGGCTCCTCCCTCCGCTCCCCCTGCCCCCGCTGGGCTCGGGGAGGGACCCCCGGGCTGGCAGCGCCCCCCGGCACGCACCGGCGGCTCGGGGGGCACAGCGGGGACACCGAGCCCTTCCCGGCTCCCCGGGTACCCGGGATGGGCTGGGGGAGCAGGATGGGTGCGGGGGGCAGGGATGGGTGCGGATGCCAGGGATGGGTGCGGGGTCCCGGGATGGGTGCGGGGTCCCGGGATGGGTGCGGGGGCAGGGATGGGTGCGGGGGGCAGGGATGGGTGCGGGGTCCCGGGATGGGTGCGGGGTCCCGGGATGGGTGCGGGGGGCAGGGATGGGTGCGGGTACCGGGGGTCACACCGCGCACGGGAGGCCAGAGCCGTTCCCTGCAGGAGGCCCCAGCCCATCCCCGGGACACCCCGAACCCCTCCCCGATATCCCCCCTTGCCCAGAAAGTCCTGGGATGGGCTCTGGGTGTGTGACAGCCCCACCCCCTCTGCAAACTGACCCCAGCTCTGCCCAGCCCTGGGTTTGGGGTAGCGATTTTGGTGTTTTGGTGTGTGCCGGGTGTTGTCACCTCGGTGCCAGAGCAGAGGAGGTTTTAGGGGACCCCAGGAACAACCTGGGATGGGCACAGAGCCGGGAACACCTGGAGATGCATTCCTGGATCTCCCTCAGGGATGGGGCTGCCCTTCGATCCAGACCCCCAAGCATCACCTGGGCTCTTCTTACAGAAAAAAAATAAAATTATGTATATGTAAATATATAAATACGTATAAAATATGTATTGTGGATATGTAAAATAAATGTATTTATAGAGTTCTTCTTGCTGGAAATCCCCAGCCCCCTCAGCAAGGGGAATTTTGACTCAAACGTCATCATTTTAATTATTTTAATAATGGGACCCACAATTCTGGGGAGACTTTAGCGTTCCCATCCCCAGTTTTGGGGAGATTATGAGAGAGTTTCTCATTCTGGACAATTTTTGGGGAATTTTTTTGCAGGTCTCTGGGGTTTCCACACAAACTTTAGAGGAGACTTTAGGGATCCCTGATACTGGGGAGGGGTCTCTGTGGGTCCTATCCCAAATTTTGGGGAGACTTTTGGGGGTTTCTGGGAACTCCCTCCCCAGTAGTAGGGGACATTTTTAGGGGTCCCATTCCCAGTTTTAGGGGAGCCTCTGGGCGTCCCATCCCAAATCTTGGGGGGGGTCTTATTAAGAAGTTTTGTGTAAATGAGATCACCCTCACAACCGCGGATGGAAGAACCGGGTCTGCGATGATTCCGAGCCTCCTTTGCCGTGATGAGGACGCGAAGGCTGAGCCCGGGGCTCTGGTGACACCAAAGCTGCCGAGGCCGGGCCAGGCTCATTAACATCTGAAATGGAACCGCTCAAATGAATCGTTTCATTTTCCAGCAGCCAATAAACACTTGGGACGAGCCTAAAGCCCGGATTAAACCATCCCTGCTGGAAGAAGCCCGCGCCCACCTTGGCACCGCCCCAGGGGCTGCTCTGGGGGGGCGGGGGTGGCCTCCGGGTGCCCCGGGTGTCCCCACAGGGCCACTTCGGTGCCATCTCCGGGTGCCCCGGGTGTCCCCACAAGGCCACTTTGGTGCCGTCTCGTGGCAAACGGGCTGCGGGCTTTGTCCCCAGGCTGGGAGGCGGCCGGGCTGGTTGGAGAGCCGGAGGAAATCGGGAAGTCCTCGCCGTGGGATGGGAACTCCTCTCTCCTTTCCCAGCAGGATGGGGAGCTCCGGGGATCCTTCGGGTGATTCCCAGCCCACACATTCCCGGCTGTTCCCAGCCGGGAGGAGCTGGGACAGGCGATGGTGGCCCGACCTCCTTCCCGGTGCGGGGCGATCTGCCCAGCCCTGCTGGCCTCGGGTCATTGCCCCCTGGGCAGGAGCAAGAGGGAAATAAATGAGGCCAAATTCTGGATTGCAGATGCCGAACCCAAATCCAGCCCGGTCTGGGCTCCACCAGGGGTCCCGTAGGAGGTGGCGGTGTCCACCCGTGTGCCAGCGCCAGTGGGGACAGGACGGGGCAGGACGGGGCAGGACAGGAGGATTTGCACATGGGTGGAGGGGAAGGGTGGCTGTGTCCCCGCCGAGCCCCAGGGAATGTCCTCAGGGGCTGTCCCGCAAGCATGGGCATTGTTCCCATTGATCCCGCCGGGAATTAGCGATGAATCAGCCGATCCCAAAGCGAAGGAAGTCACTGCCAGGACTCCTCCTGCAGGTGACAAACGCTCGTTTGGGGAGGGCTGGGGTCACTGGTTGTGCTGCCTCCATCCCAGCAGGGATGTAGCCAGGCGGGGTCCCCGCCCCGCGCCAGCTGCCTCCTCCTGGATTTTGGGCTCCATGGAAGGAAACAAATCTGGGAAGGGAAATTCGGAGGAAGCGAAGCCTTCGACGGCTGGGTGACAGCTTGGGGACGATGAAGATCAAAGCACTGTCAGCCTGACACCTCCTAGAGAGGAGATTTTTTTGTAATCGTTCAAAATGAGGAGCTTAAACCCATTCACAGTTCCGGACAGAGCGTCCCCAGCGGTGTTTCCTGAGTGCCTGAACGAGACAAGCACGATGGGGACAGCCCAGGGGACAGCGGCTCCCACACTGCCACCCCACAGCCGGGCTTTGTCCCCGTGTGCAGCTCCAAACTGCTCTGGACTGGTTTGTGGAGCCCCGGGAGGCAGCAGGGCTGTGCTGCCTCAGCCGGGCTTTCCTCATCTCCCCCGAGTGTTGGGCAAGGCTGCTGATCCTGCCGGGGTTTCCTCACTTGGGAATCTCTCTGGCTCTGCTTGGTCTCCGGGGAAGTGGCACAAGAGATGTGCTGTCACCTCCAGGGCAGCTCAGGGCTCGATTCCTCGGCTTCCTGGTGCTCCCGGTGCTCCCGGTGCTCCCGGACTGACGGGCCACCGTGCCCTGCCTGCCTCTGCTCTGTTATTTTGCCAAAGCGGGTTGATGCCCTGCAGAGAGGGGCTGGTTCCCACTGATCCCATTCCAGGAGCTGGAGCAGCACCCACACGGCCCAAGGGGTGGCAGAGGTCCCTGTCCCTCCTGCCCACCCAGGACTGACCCCATTCCAAGGCCTTGGCCCTGAAAAGCAAAATTCCTGATCCAAAGTGGAGCTCCTGTGCCTGAGCAGGGACAGAGCTGAGATCCCGACCCTGGGCTGGGTGAAGGGGGAGTTTATGAGGGTTTCCAGAAGAAATCCAAGAGCTGCTCTAAGGGAGGGGCTCCAGAGCTTCCAAAGGGAGCAAATCCTCTGCTGGGTATCCACAGGCAGAGGATCCTTGGCACCGGGAAGCTCTTGCAGGGAACAGTGGGATCCATCCCCATCAGAGCTGGAGAATGCTCTGATCCCTCCTGTTTTCCCAGTGGATGTTTTATGTGTCCCCACCAAACACTCCAAGGTGGGAACACAGACCAGTCCAGGGCTGTCACCTCTCCCAGTGTGGGTGTCACAAGGGGGGGTCAGCAGAGGTGGCACCTCCAGCTGGGGCATCACTCCTACCTCGGCAGGGTGACCTGGGCAGTGTCCTGGGGACAGCACAGCCACAGCTGTCCCCATCCCGGCACTGCCCTGTGCCCAGGCTCTGCTCTCCTGGCCAGTTCCTGCTACTCAGGTCCCTCAGGCCATGGATCTTCCTGCTCATCCTCCTGCTCCTCCAAAGGGCCAGGGGTGCTCCTGCCCTGGGACTGCCCCCACCCTGACCTGCAGCCCTAATTCTGTCACCCTGAGCTTTGAAGAGGTTTGGGAGCTGGGCTGATGGGATGTTCTGGGGAAATTGAAAATGGACAGGGCACAGAGGACAGGCTGGAGCCAGGCACAGCCCCAAGCTGAGCCCGGCCTAAGCCCTGCCCTGCTGCACAACACACTTGGGACCAGCCTTGCTTGTGCTTGCTTTGGCTCAAGAAAACTTCCCAAATTCTCCTCCTTCTCCTTCTCCTTCTCCTTCTCCTTCTCCTTCTCCTTCTCCTTCTCCTTCTCCTTCTCCTTCTCCTTCTCCTTCTCCTTCTCCTTCTCCTCCTTCTCCTTCTCCTTCTCCTTCTCCTTCTCTCCCCCCCTCTCAATAATGTCTCCCCCAGAGGGACTCAGGCTGCCATGGGGGTGCTGAGGACATTCCGAGCAGGTCCCTGTCACCCTTCATGTCCCACCCCTGGCACGAGGATCCCTCACACTCCTCATCCCCCATGCCGGTGCTTGAATCCCTCCTAAGGGAAGATAAGATCGGGATCAGCCAGCCGGGCTCTGCCAAAACGGGCAGGAAGCAGCACAGTAATTAAATGGGCAAATAATGGGAATTTAGGATTATAACAAAAGGCAGAAAAGCAATCCCAGAGGGGGTCGGGAAAATTAGGAACACAGAGAAAAGTCCAATCAAGCAGAAAATAGCCCGGAGTGGAGCCAAGGGCTGGGGGCTGAGGCAGCCGGGCTCGGAGCCTGGGGGGAGGATTTGGGGGGGTCCCCGGTGCTGTTCAGGGGCAGAACGAGAGTTTTGGGAGAGATCTGTTCCCGAGCAGAGCTGGCCTCAGGCTGAAACCCTGGGAAAAGTTCCCAGATCTGCCCTGGGGCACGGCAGATCTGGGATGTGATATCCATGGAAATCTCCCAGAGGAGGAGCCTGGGAAGTGAGGCTGGGGAGGCTGGAGGGGTGGAGGGGAGGTGCCTGAGGCTGGGGGCTGGGATCGCTTGGGGTCTGGGGGGGACAGAGTGGATTTGGCTGGAATTCAGTGTTTTGTGCAGATTCCCCATTCCCGGGGTTTCCTGGGATGGGCTCTCTGCCGGGGGAAAGCAGGAGCCGGTTGTACCCAAGGGCACAAATCCCCTTGGGAATATCCTGGGAAGGACGCAGGGCTCTCTGGAGCTCCCCTCCCAAATACTGGGAGATTTGGGTGGGGGGTGGGGAGTTCTGTGGTTCCCACCCCCAGTTCTGGGAGGACTTCTGGGGGTCTCTGGGGTTCCTACCCAAATTTTTGGGAAGACATTTGGTTCCCATTCCCAGTTTTGGGGAGATTTTGGGTGTGTGGGGGGGTGGGGTTCTGTGATTCTCATTCCAGATTTTGTGGGGGGGTTTCTGAGGGTCTCATCCCAAATTCTGGGGAGGCTCCAGCAGCAGTCTGTGCTGCTCTGCTGGCTCTGCTGCCATCTTCCACTATTGAGGGAGATGTCTAAGGATCCCATTCTCAGTTTTACAGGGGTCGCTGGGGGTCTCATCCCCACTTTTTGGGAGATTCTGAGGAGGTTTCTGTGGTTCCCAACCCAAATTCTCGATGAGAATTTTGGATGTCTCTGGGGTTGCCACCCAAATTTTAGGGGAGACTCTGGGGGTCCCATCGCCAGTTTTGGGGAGACTTCATTAATCCAATGTTCCTCCCATTCCCTAATGAGGCTCAGATCCCCTTTACTGCTCCTTTCGACCCCTTCCCAGCGTCGGGACACGGCCCAGCCCCGTGGGGACACAAGGACACCCCAGCCCGGTATCCCCAGGACCTTTCCCGGGGATTTCCTGCCGGGAAAACCAGCCCGGGGACATTCCTCCCTCCGGGCACGGTTTGTTTGTCCCGGGAGCCCTGGAGACGCTCCCGGCTCCTGCCGCAGCTCCCCTCCCCTCGCACCCGAGCCATGGAGGGGGGAGCAGCCGGGGACCCCCGCGGGTTCTGGGGGAACCCCCCGGCAGGGACCGGCCTTGTCCCACGCAGGGTGAGTCCCGGAGCGCCTCTGTCGGATAAGGGTGGAGATGGGATAGGGTGTCCCTGGGATGGGAGGGCGGTGTCCCTGGAAAAACCAGGGAAGAGCAACCATTCCCTTCTCCAGGAGTCCCGTCCTGCTCCCCTCGGGCCACCTGCTCCTCGTGCCACCAGCCCCATCACCCCTCGCCTGTCACCAGCCGTGTCCCCCCTGTCCCCTCCCGCCTGTCACCAGCCGTGTCCCCCCTGTCCCCTCCAGCCCCGCTGCCAGGACTCTGAATTAAGCTGGGAATGTGCAATTCCGGTGTTTTCCTTCCCCTGCTGCCTTCCAGCTCCGCACCGTGGGATCGCCCCCCGGAGCCGCCCCCCTGTCCCGGCCGCCGGTGCTGATCCTGCAGCAGCTCCCCGGGCCCGGGGCCGCCCCCGCGGGACCCCCGCCCGTCCGGGGAGGTGCGTGCGGGCAGAGCTGGGAGAGGGCAGCGCTAAACCTGCCTTGACTTCAGCCGCTGCTTTTCTCCCAGCCTTTTCCAGGGTGAGAGGGGCAGAGCCACACTCAGGATGTCCATCCCGTCCTTGGATGGATGCTCGGCCCCACGGGATGAAATTTTTTGGGTTTTTACCAAGTCTGGGCTGCAAGATGCTCCTGGGAAACAGTTTGGGGCTGGTTGGTTATTTTTGAAATTCACCTGTTTTGTTCTCCAAAACCCCATTTCCTGCAGGCATCCCCAGGGAAAGGCAGAGTGCCACGGCTTCCTTGGAATTGTGAGGTGGGATTGGAACCCTGGGCTGTGCCACTGTCCAGAGGGGCTTCACCCAACCTTGTGCCCCCAGGCTGCAGCAATCTGGGCTGGAGGGGGGCTGGCAGCAGGGCCAGGGGCCCGTGGTCACTGGGGACAGCAGGGACAAAGGGCTGTGGTCACCGGGGACACAGGGACAAAGGGCTGTGGTCACTGGGGACACACCATGGGCAAAGTCACCTTGTGCTGTCTGGAGGGGGAAGGTAGAGCTGTCCTTAAAAATCTGGGGAGGAAAAAGGATGCTGAAAATCAGTGCGGAAAGAAAGGAGAGACCCAGCCTGGGCCCCATGGGGTGGGTGGGATCCATTCAGAGCTGGCAGCACTTCATGTCCCAGCCCTGGTTCAGTTCCTTGCTGCTGGGTGCTCCCTGCTCCTGGAGCCGGCTCAGCAGAGTCCCAGGATGTGCTGGGATGTTCCTGGCTGGAGTCACAGCCATCTCCTGGTGTCCTGGGAGCCCAGCCTGGCAGCTCTGGAGCCTTTGGAGCACATGGGGTATGGGGTGGTCCAAACCCTTTTTTGCCCCAGGTCATGGAACCAGGGAATCTCAGAATGGTTTGGACTGGAAGGGACCGTAAGGATTGCCCAGTGCCACCCCTGCCATGACAGGGACACCTCCCGCTGTCCCAGGCTGCTCCCAGCCCCATCCAGCCTGGCCTTGGGCACTGCCAGGGATCCAGGGGCAGCCCCAGCTGCTCTGGGTGGATGAAGCCAGCAGGATCTCAGGGAAATCCAGCAGGTTTATGGGAATTTCACACCTGCAGGAAATGGGGATGTTTTTGGGGGATGCAGAGCCAGGTTTGGGGCTTCCTCTGTATGGACTGGCCTCAGCAGCCACCCCCGGTGTGATCATCCAGCCAAGGGGACAGGGACACTGCTCTGGGCCCAGCTCCTCGTGTGGAGCCAGGCAGGGGCTGAGGAGGCACTGAGCATCCCCACTCTGCTCCTCACCTGGATCCAGCTCCCAGGAGTGGGGATTGGGATCCTGGGGTCACCCTCATGGCGCAGCCCCAGCTCCTGCCCCTTCGGGGGGCTCTGAGCCCCTGTGCACAGAGCAGAGCTGACCCTGGAGTGCTCTGGGCCACCCCAAGGATGCTGCCTCTGCCAGCTCTTGCCAGGGCAGCTGCTTCCTGAGCCCCTGAGCACTTCCAGGGTTGGAGAAATCCTCCCCAGAATGGGTGGAAAGTCTGGAGCTCCAGCCCCAGTAATCACTCCTTGTGAGCCAGCCCAGATGTTTGGTCACGTTTGCAAGGAAGAAAAGGCTCAAATATGGCAATTTTCAAGCTTTATCCAAGCAAAATGATTTTTAAACACCACATGGGGCTTCCAGACCGGGGTGGAGGAAGTCTGGCTTTGCTCCCACTGCTTGGGAACAGGGAGGAGCCTTGGGGCCGCCCCATCCCAGGCACTCATCCCAGGCTGTGCTCCTCCTGCCCTCCATCTGCTCCCTCTCTGATGCAGAATCTCCAATTCTCCAGCACATTTGATGGAATTGATGCTGATTCAAGGCTCCCAAATGCACCAGCTGCTGATGCACGGCCTGGCCATGGCAGCTCTGATGCCCCTCGGTGTGGGCCCAGCCCCAGCCCCAGCCCAGGTGAGGCTCAGGGGAGCTGGGTGGGCAGAGGGACCTTCCCAGGGCTGTTCAAGAGAGCAGGATCACCACACCCTGCTTTGGGACCCTCTGGGTGCAGCACTTGGGTGGGCCCAGCCCAGCTCAGAGCAGCCCTTTGGGGTTTTGGGGCTCTCTGTGGTGGTTTGAACCCCAGCTCTGCCAGCTCAGACCCCATCCAGGCCCTCAGGCAGAGCTTTAGCCCAGCTGGGAAGAGCCAGGACCCTCTGGAAGTGCAGCCCAGTCAGGCAGGAAGGCTCTGCAGGGGCCACCACTGAAAAATCCATCTTGAACCAAAACCATATGAAACATTTGATCTCCTTGGGGGGAACAATGCTGCTTTTGGGGCAGGGCTGGGCTGTGGCAGCTGCTGAGCTCACTGCCAGCTGGCACCTCCCAGCACTCACCCCTGCCCTCCCAGTGCCACCAGTGCAGGGCTGGCCAGGACTGGACCCTGCCCCCTCAGACAGGTCTCAGATCAAAGGGGCTCTTCCCACGGGCCTTTGGTCCCATCTGTGGGGCTGCCACCCCTCGTGTCCCCAACAGTGTTCCCCCGGGTCCTGTGTGGGACCGAGTGGGACGGGTGTGATCCAGGGGCAGCGGCGCTTTTGGGGGTCCTGGAGCCCGGCCCAGCCTCTGTCCCTCCCGCAGGCGCTGCCGGGGCCTCCGCAGGGCGAGGAGGAAGAGGAGGCCGTGGTTTTCCACCATCACTACATCCCCTGGCCCGGCCCGAGCCCCGTGCGGTTCCTGCGCTCCTCGCCCGGGGCCGGGGGGTGAGTGCGGGGTGGGCTCGGTGCCACCTCGCTGTGGCAGCACCTCCAGCCCAGCCGGGCCTCCAGGGACACATCAATCCCTCACTTGTTCCCCTCCAGCAGGGCTGTGCCACCCCCGCCACCCCCCAGCGCCACCGGGACAGTGGGACCCGGCGTCCCCCCAGCAGCGGGTAAGGACACCCAGGGGACATTGTCCCCATTGTCCCCACAGCCCCCGACGGGAACAGCTTTCCCTCAAGCATCCGTCATCCCAGGCTGAGCTTCCCCACTCCCTGTCCCCATCCTGTCCCCTCAGGGCTGGGATCCTGTCACTCCCTGTCCCCTCAGGGCTGGGATCCTGTCACTCCCTGTCCCCTCAGGCCTGGGATCCTGTCACTCCCTGTCCCCTCAGGCCTGGGATCCTGTCACTCCCTGTCCCCTCAGGCCTGGGATCCTGTCCCCATTCTGTCCCCTCAGGGCTGGGATCCTGTCACTCCCTGTCCCCTCAGGCCTGGGATCCTGTCCCCATCCTGTCCCCTCAGGCCTGGGATCCTGTCCCCATCCTGTCCCCTCAGGGCTGGGATCCTGTCCCCATCCTGTCCCCTCAGGGTACTACAGTGCCGAGGAGCGGGGCCTGGGAGCTGTGCCTGCCGATCCCTCGGTCCCGGATGGATACTCCGCCATTCCCACGGCTTCGGGGTGTTTTCCCGGCTGTCAGCGCCCCAGGGCAGCGGTGTCACAGCGCTGTCACAGCCCGTGACACCCCGAGGTGGCACAGGCTGTGCCGTGTCCCCGGGGCCAGGGGGTGGCCCCAGCCCAGGTGGTCCCAGCCTTCATTAGTCCCTCCAGCTCTCAATGCAGCGTTGCCTGTAATTAATTTGCTTTGTTAGGAGAGCGCCCTGCTGTCGCTAATTAATCATCTGTAATTACATGGGCTGGTGGCTCCGTGCCGGGGCTCCCTCGGGGCTGAGGGGCCCAGAGCCCCCTGCACCCCATGGGGGGGGGTCTGTCAGGGCCTGGGGATGATGAGGGGGGGTCTCAAATCCTGGGGGTGCTGGGGTGGGCTCGGGGGGGGGGCTGTCGGTGGTTGGGTGTGCTGGGTG